TGTGCCGCCCATCTCCCCGTTAAGCCCGCGCCGCCCATGCCCACCATCAGGTGGGTTGTGGCCTTGGGCGAGTCGTAGCTGTCTGTGAGCTTCGTCCCGTTCACGACGGGGAATGTCCTCTCGTAGCTGTGGACGTGGCCAGCCAGGTACAGGTCGACGCCGTACCGCTGGAAGAGCGGCTCGAACACGCTCCTTGGAGGCCTACAGCTCGGCACCACCGCCAGCATCTGGGGCCGCTTCCATCGAGGGAGGCCGCGATCTTGGCTTCGGTGGTGGTGCTCATGCCCCGGCGGCGGCCTAGGCGCTGCCATCACATTCGAGATCGTGGAGTCCCTCGGTGGAGCCCGCCCCTCACCTTGATGACGGTGGTGCCAGCTCATGGGCCTCCGACTCCTGGCCCTGGGCCCCCACATGTTGCAGTCGTAGTAATCGTTGGAGGAGCAGTACAGCGGGCGGTGGCCGAGGACGACGATCCACGGCACCCGCGCGCGGTTCGCGCTGGCCCTCTTGAGGTCGTCCTCGAGCCACGCGTACTGCGTGGACCCAGGTGCGTACGGCTCAAGCCCGGCCTCCGTGCTGATGGAGACCAGGTGCATGTAGGAGAAATCGATGGAATAGTAATGGGGCGCCTCCTGTGCTGGGAGACGGGACTCACACTCCACGCCAGAAGTCTATCCGCTGTGAACGGCATGGCGGGTCCAAAAAGCTATATTGCTGGTGCCCAGCCCCCTGGGGGACAGAGCCCGCACTGCAAGTCGGGATGCTGGCCAGAGACGCGTGCGCCTTGAGGGCTGCACAGTGCAGCCTGGGCCGCCCCGCGCTCCAAAGGCGGTGCTGTGACACCTTCCACGCACGCGACATGTCAATACATGATACACACACATAGTTGCTGAGTTTTGAACTTGAAGTGTAGCTACTCAATCTTACATTCAGTGACTGTAAATCAATGTTCCTTGAGTCCCACATAGCTCCACTCAAAAGTTGACTTCCACCGATGCGGGGGCGCGCCCCCGAGGACCCCGGGCATCCTTGGATGCGGAGGCCTTCCCGCCCGCCCCGGAGGGCGGGAAGCCATCCACGCCCAGCGCTCCGAAGGGCCCGGTCTCCCCCCCCCCCCCCCCCCCCCCCGAGTCGTCGGTGGGGGGGAGCACGCCAGCGCCCCGCGCCCCCCCCCCCCCCTTGGGGCGCGTTTGGCCCGCCCCCCCCCCTGCGCCGCCCCGCCTCCGCGGGCCCACCCTGGGCCAGGCCCTGGTGCGCGGTGGGCGACGCGAGCTGTGCGCCGCTCGCCGCATCGCTGGGGCGGCCCCTCCCCGCGCACCTTCCGACGCTTCGTGCGCGAATCCTGTCGGGGGCGGCCAGGAGGGGGGTGTCCACGAGGGGGGGTGCAAATCGTGGCTGGCAGCACTTGCGCGGCCCAGGGTGGGGGCCAAGGAACGCACTGAAATAAGAAGAGGCGCCACGAGATCTGGGAAAATATCATGGCCACCGCCAGGATATCCGCCCCCCGTAGTCATCCCCCCCTTTTTGCCGCTCCCGATCTTTTCGCGAGGTGATCTCAGATGCTCCTCGATGGTCCTCGCTGGGGAAAGACGCACACGTCCGAGCGGTGCCAAGTGCAGCCCATCCTGGGCCCGGCCAGGGCCGGGGCGGTCGCCCGCTGCGTGGCCTCCCCCTCCTCCCTCTCGCCCTCCTCCCCCTCCTCCTCCTCCTCCTCCTCCTTCTCCTCCTCCTCCTCCTCCTTCCTCCTCCCCTCCTCCCTCCTTCTCCTCCCTCCTCCTGCCTCCTCCCCTTTGTTTCTCCTACTACTTCTTCTCCCCCTCCTCCTTCTCCTCCTCCTCCTCCTCCTCCTCCTCCTCCTCCTCCTGCGAAGGTGGGCTCCGGGAGGCGCGTCGGCGGTGACGTGTGCTCTCGCTGTCTCGCCGCACGCTCGCTGGGTTACAGCTCCTCCTGCCCACCACCCGTCTTCGCGCGTCAGCAGCAGGCGCTTCTGTCACTGCGCTTTCGACCGTGCTCGATCGCAATCGGCACCTCCATCTGCCGGTTCGCGCTCGAGGGCCCTCCTGCGCCGCTGACTTGAAGAACGGCTCCCCGCCCCTCGATCCTGGGACTCGAGCGCCTGGGAGGGCAGGAAGAAGCGGTGGGCGTACCCGGCGAAGTTGTACCAGTGGTCCTCGTTTTTTTTTTTTTTTTTTTTTTTTTTTTTTTTTGTTTTTTTTTTTTTTTTTTTTGTTTTTTGGGGGGTGTTGTTTTTACTGGTTGTCTAAACCATTTTTTGATATATTTCAGGGTTTGTCTGATTATTAAAAGTGACAGGGGGGGTCCTCGTGCCCACGCAGGGGAGGTACGGGTGAAGATGGGAAGGTCAGCGAGCCGGTAGCTTGTAGTTAGCGGGAAGGGGCTCCATGGTTCCTGAGGGAGGTCCTGGGCGGTGCGCCAGCAGGACGAGACTCGACCGTCGGCGCGGCGGCGGGGAGGGGAGCCAGCAAGAGGGAAGGGGGGGAAGGAAAAAAAAAAATCGGGGCACCCACAGGATGGTGGGCGCAAAGGGAGGAGGCGGTGTGTGTTCCGAGGAGAGGCGGGAAGCCCAGCTCACCTCTACGACTCAGACCCTCGCCTCATCCCGCCCCTCTCCTGCATCCTTCATCCCCTCCTCCCGCATCCATACTAGACTTCCGCCTCCCCTCCGCGTCCCCCTCCGCCTCCTCCTCCTCTCCTCCCTCGCATGCCCTCCTCCCTCCCCCTCCCCCCTCCTCCTCCTCCTCCCCCCTCCTACCCCTCCCCCTCCTCCCCTCCTCTCTCCTCCCCCTCCTCCCCCTCCTCCTCCTCCTCCTCCGGCTCCTCCTCGGGTCCTCGGTCCTCTCGGTCCTCTCGTCCTCCGCCTCCTCCTCCTCCTCCTCGTCCGTCGTCCCCTCGTCGTCCCCTCCTCCTCTCCTCCTCCTCCTCCTCCTCCTCCTCCTCCTCCTCCTCCTCATCTCTAAGAAAGCGTCTCAGGAGCTGGAGGACCTCCAGAAGGCCGCGCCGGCCTTGTGACGGTTGGCGTCGCAGAGATAGCGTGTGCGATGTGGCACCACCTGCCCGCTGATTGCACGCTACCCCCCCACGTCGGGGACAGCGTGCACCGACGAGACCGTCGCAGGGGGATGGCGTGCGCAGAAGGGATCTTCGGGGATGGACAGACCTCCCTTTAGTAAAACGTGGTTTAGTGAAAACGACCTGCGGCCCAAAACCTGGCGTGCGCAGGCCTGGAAAATAACGGCCGCGGCGCCCTCTCGAGAGCCGAAAACGGACAATTCACTAATCGACGTGTCACTGTTGGGGGTTCTGTCCGCCCCCGACAGAAGGGGTCTTCGCGGGGGGATCGGCTCACAGGGACAGCGTGCGTTGCGGAGGTCGATGTTGTACGCTGTCTTTGCGGCGCCAGCCGTGGAAGCTGTCCCGGAGGGAGGAGGGAGGAGGAAGGAGGGAGGAGGAGGAGGTGGAGGTGGAGGAGGAGGAGGAACGAGAACGAGGAACAGGACGAGGAGGAGCATGATGAGGAGGAGGAGGAGGAAGGAGGAGGAGGGAGGGGGAGGAGGAGGAGGAGGAGGGGAAGGAGGAGGAGGAGGAGGAGGAAGAGGAAGGAGGAAGGAGGAGGAGGAGGAGAGCAGGATGAGGAGGGAGGAGGAGGAGGAGGAGGAGGAGGAGGAGGAGGAGGAGGAGGAGGAGGAGGAGTAGGAGGAGGAGGAGGAGGAGGAGGAGGAGGAGGAGTTGGAGGGGGGGAGGAGGAGGAGGGGGGAGGAGGAGGAGGAGGAGGAGGAGCCTCCTCCCTCCTCGCCCTTCTGGAAAGAGCTCCTGCCTTCTATGAGCCCCCTGGCCTTCTTCGACGCCGCCCCCCTCGCGCTCCCCCCCCCTGCGCGCGCCGCCGAAGCCGGAGCACGAATGCCTCTGGCCCACCTGGGGGCCCAGACTGTTCCGAGACTGGCGCGCTCCCTCAGTAGAGGCCTCACCCTTTCACTGCCCATGCGAAGCCCTGGGGCCCCAAGAGCGCCGAAGCCTGGGACACCAAGAGCGCCGCCGAAGACGGGGACCCCAAGAACGCCGCAGCCCTGCAGCCAAAGCCTGGGACCCCAAGCGCGCCGCCGGCCCCCGCGAGACTGCCAGACCAGGGCTCCGAGCCCAGTCACTGGAGGCCTCCCGGATGGGGTCCGAGCAGATGGGGTCGGAGGATCGCGCCGCATCGCCAGTGCGTCGCCGATGCATCGGCGATGCACCAAGGACGCTGGCGATGCATCGGCGATGTCGGCTTAGAGAGAATATCGTGCTCCGCACCGAGCCGCATGCGGTCGGCGGTGCGGCGCGATCCTCCGACCCTATCTACTCCGACCTCATCCGGGAGGCCTAGACTCAGACCAACGCCGGCTCCAGCCTCCCAGCGACGACGGAGCTGGCCACCTACCAAACCACCCCAACCCAACCCGAAGGCCTCAGTTTGCCCTCCATTTCCAGTGGGGGGGGGTCGGGGAACATCGAAAAAACACCTATGGAGCCCATACCCCCCAACCCGCAATTCGGGTCTTCGGGTTGGGTTGGGTTGGTCTGGTAGGTAGTCAGGAGCCCCGTTGAGATTTCCGCCGCCGCTTTCCTGAAGAACACGTCCCAGACGGTCTCGTTGCCACGGTCGTACGCCACGTCACCCACGTGCACCACCAAGTCGGGCTCCGAGGGCGTGCCCAAGAGGCCGGCCACGTAGCCGTCGTTGTACAGGGCGCCCCCGGGGCCGGAGTGATCGCCGAAGTCGCCAGTCCCCATGTCCCCGAAAGCGATCACGCGCACGGGCCTCGGATCATCTTTTCTTCATGTTGAACAGAATCCCACCCGCCGTACACGTTTTCTTTCGACCCCCCCCACTGTGCACTCGAAGGCTTTGTTGAGACCCCCAGCGTTACACTGCATCTCTCCGCTCCGCCTCCAGCCTTTTTGTAACTTTGTTTTGTTTTGCTTGAGACTCCGTAGGAAATAAGTGCCTGTTCCTCAGGAAGCGCGACGACGACGAGGTCGAGGGCGAGGGCGAGGGCGCGGACAACGACGAGGACAACGGTGGGGGCGACAACGACGACGGCGACGGCGACGACAATGCCGACGACTACGACTACGACGACGACGTCGACGACGACGGCGGCGACGACGACGACGACGTCGATGGCGATGGCGACGACGACACCAACGACTACGCGACTACGACGACGACGACGACGTCGACGACGACGACGGCGACGACGACGACGGCGACGACGACGCCTCTTTTTTCTTCGCTTGAGACTCGATTCAAACCAGGTCCCCCGAGGTGAGCACGTGCACGGGCCTCCGACGGCGAAGCCCCACGGTCCTGGGCAGGATGGGCTATCGGGCCCCTCTCGGCGGTGCGTGGGCGATTCGGGATCGATTCGGTGCAGGCCGTCTTGCAGACCATCTCGGCCGTCTCGGGGGCCATCCTGGGGCCGTCCTAGGGCGGGAAAACCGACGACCTGGGAAATTGGTCCTCGTGGAGGCGATGGTGTGTGGATGTGGAGGTCTTTACGCGTCCCTTCCGGGTGGCCGGCGGGTTGGGCCGAAGGCTCGCTAGAAACGTGAACCTGATACCTACAGAGAAGCTGCCCACATTCGAAGGGAGCTCTCAAGCTTTCGCCAGGCCTGCGCAGTGTCCATAAGAGCAAGAGCGCAGCTGAGCACAGGAGGGCGTGCAGGCAGCTGCGGAGCTCGGACGTGCAGAAGCCAGGTGCGGACGACGCTGCAAAGCCCTAGGAAAGCAGAGCAGTGGCAGCGCGAGCACCAAATCTGCAAGTCGCTGGGGAGCCCCCGCGTCTGAGCCCCCCCCACCCAAAACCTTGCCCCTTGCCATGACTCGGGCCTCCAGCGGCCGTTCGGGACGATCTGGGCAACCCCAGAACGCCCTTGGCGAGGCGCAGCCGCTGGAAGGCATTCCGAGGCTGGGAAGCCTTTCAGAACCGATGAAAGCGTCAGAAACGAAAGTCTGCATGCAACTTGACCTCTGCGTCCTGTCACTGCCATGCCTGCTCGCACCAGAGCCTGCACCTGGTGACCACCAGATCACCCGGATCGGATCGAGCACGCAGCTTTTCCTTGCCTGGATGCTGTGATGCAGGGGGAAAAAACGACACCCCCTGAGGGCCTCGGATCCACGGGCGGTGCCCTGAAGGCGAGCTCGGCGGACTCGAGGCCGCCGTGCGCCACCCTGTAGCGGGCGGTGGTGTCGGCCACGAGGCCCGTCATGACGGCCGTGGCCACGGAGCGCGCTGCGCCGCCCGCCGCGTACTGGTGCACCGCCGCATCGATCCACCGCCCGGCGGTGCCCTCCTGCGCGTACCAGACCTGGAAGCTCGGAGCTCCCTCCCCCTCCTCCTCCTCCTCCTCCTCCTCCTCCTCCTCCTCCTCCTCCTCCTCCTCCTCCTCCTCCTCCTCCTCCTCCTCCTCCTCCTCCTCCTCCTCCTCCTCCTCCTCCTCCTCCTCCTCCTCCTCCTCCTCCTCCTCCTCCTCCTCCTCCTCCTCCTCCTCCTCCTCCTCCTCCTCCTCCTCCTCCTCCTCCTCCTCCTCCTCCTCCTCCTCCTCCTCCTCCCCCTAAGATCGTGTGGTGACGGACCGCGGGCGTACCAGACCTGGAAGTTCGGAGCCCCCTAAGCTGGCCATCGCTCGGACGTTCATTCCCTGTGTTTTTTTGCGGTTTCGTGCGTGGTTCTTTCGCCAGATGAGCAAGGATGCTCCTCGAGGGTCCTCGCCGAAGGAAACATGGACACGTCCGAGCGATGCCACATAAGATCGTGTGGTGACGGACCGCGCGTTGGCCTCGGACTCCTCCGGCGACCTCACCGCGCGCGGCCCGTCGCCGCACGCTCCCGGTGCGTCGCCACACGGTTTTGGGGACCTCGGAGGCCTCGGCCGCCCGAGACGCCCTCGGAGAGCGACTCGCGTCCCAAAGCCGCGCGGTGACCCGAATCCCCACGGACTCACCACGCGGTGTGGTCACCACACCGTGTGGGGCCCCCCCCCCGAGGGAGGCCTCCCCTCGTTTACCCCCAACCCTACTACGTTGGGGCCTCGTTTTGAATATAGCACTGCGGTCGCACATCTCCTCCTACTCCTCCTCAGCTTCCTCCTCTTCATGCCTTCTCCTGCGCCCCTCTTACCTGCGTGCTACCCTGCCTTCTACCTGCTTTCTGCCCCGCCTCCTACTTGCCTGCCGCCTTGCCTTTTTGCCATCCCCAGGGGCTGCGATCTGCAAACCTACGTCAGACCTCGCCAGAACTGGGGGGCCGAGATCTGCGAATGTGTCGCTCATTGCGGAGGATGCTGGGGGGTCCAGCGGAATGACGTCATACCTGGACCTAAATTAAACATCGCCCTCCCTGGAGGGCTGCGATCTGCAAAACTGTCGCCACTTTCGAGGGCTGCTGGGGGTCCACCGGGGTGACGCTACACGCGGACCTAAAATAGACCTCGCCATCCCCGGGGGGCTGCGATCTGCGAGCCGCCTCTTTCGAAGGCTGCTGGGGGGTCCAACGGGATGATGTCATACGCGGACCTCCAGTCGACCTCCCTGGGGGGCTGCGATCTGCGAAAGCGCCGTCACTTTCGAAAGCTGCTGGGGGGTCCAGCGGAATGGCGCCATACGCGGACCTAAATTCGCGTTCGACATCCCTGGGGGGCTGCAATTGACGGAACCGTCGCCACTTACGAGTGTTGCTGGGGGTCCAGAGGAGTGCCGTCATACGCGGCCCGATATTCGACCTCGACATCCCTGAGGAGGCTGCGATTTGCGATCATGCCGCCAGTTGTCCGCACACCTAAATCAGATGTCGCCATCCTTGAGGGGCTGCGATCTGCGATCCTGTCGACAATTTCGACCGCTGCTGGGGGTCCAGCGGGATGGCGTCATACGCGGACCTAAATTAAACCTCGCTCTCCCTGGGGGGCTGCGACCTGCGAAACGGCCGCCGCTTTCGAGGGCTGCTGGGGGTCAAATGGAATGACGTCATACGCCAAGCTGAATCAGACCTCGCCATCCCCGGGGGGCTGCGATTTGCAATGCTGTCGCCACTTTCGAGGGCTGCTGGGGCTCCAGCGGCGTGACGTCATGCGCGGGCCTGAGGTCGACCTCGCCATCGCTGGGGGGCCGTGGGGGGGAGCGTGGAAGGAACGTGTAGGACTATCAGGGGCCTTTTTTTGTTCTCTCTCTCTTTCTCTCTTTTCTCTCCCCCTCTCTCTCTTTCTCTCTCTCTCTCTCTCTTTTTTTATCTCTCTCTCTCTCTCTCCCTCTCTCTTTTTTCCTCTCTGTCTCTCGCGTTATCTTCCCTTTCCCTTTCGTTGCGAAGCATATCTACTACCTTTCGAGGTGTTCTATGTCTGGCGTCTGCTACATCCCTAGTGGCAACTTATGGGGATCCAATTGGCATGCTTCATTCCTCCTGAAACCGCACTGGAGCCCAAGTTGGTCGCGCTGCATCTGGGGCGGGCCCCCCATCATTATTGACGCCTTGTTGGGCCCTGCTCTCGTGCAAGCGGACTCCTCCGGGCGCGTGTCTGCCGCGTGCTTATTGGCATCCCCTCGCGGAGTTTCTGAAACTATCTGGATCTAGGGCCTGCGACCTTCGTGCTCGAATGAACGTAGGTTTGAACTGCGATTCTACGCGACTGGGATCTGCTCCACTCCGACTGGTGTCCCGCAGGACCCCAAATCAATGAACCAATTGGGCGTTGTTCCCTTTTGTCAGGCGGGAACGAGACGACTGCGAAGCAACGTGTATCGTGTTTTGCCAGGCGCAAACGAAGATTTGCCAACGCGAGCAAAAACAAACGTGGACCACCTACGCCGTAGAACTGGCGAGTGCCTGCATGTGCGTTTCGCAGTGGGCGGGGGCTGCGAAAGGTCTGCGCTCTCATTTGCTTGCACAGAGTGACGCGCGCGAGGCGAACATTTAGATGGAGCCTTCTCTACGAGGTATTCGCACAATTTGCTGACGACCTCGTGTTCGTCGATGCTCGTCGTCAAACCCTGCGCCAACTGGGGCGTTGACGAAGCGAGGAGTATGTGCATCGTCGCCATGTTGGCAGCGCAAACCGCGTGTCGACGAGTCTGGGACATCAATTTCCTGTAAGGTGCCTTCAACTGTCTATGAACAATTTCGTCGCGGGTCGTGCCGTATATGACATCGTCGGAAGGGTGGTTCGCAACGTATTTGCGAAACATCCTTATGTAACCTCGACCGTCGCGGCTCGTCGCGTGCTGGAGACATCTCATCGCGGTCGCCTTGTCGTTCCCCATCTTCCTCGTGAGCATGTCTGCGCGGGTCAAGCAAATGGCGGCGACGTCTTACTCGAAACTCTCCATGGTCGAATAATATTTGTTGACGTAAGGATCTCTTTAGATCCTTTCATGCAGGCGGCGGCGCTCAGAAACCGCCATGATTGCCATTCTCCACTGGAGTTTGATTGACTCGGACTTTCCGTGGGCTGCTCTGTGATATACCGTGTGCCCGAAGCCGCCCAGGCAGAGTTTGGCTAGGCAGCGCCTCGCAGCGCCCGAAAACGCGGTCGGTCTTCCACTGGGCGCTCTCTCCAGCTTCAATGCGAAGTGTCAGCGCAATAAGGTTCGGGAAAATCTCGCGCAGCTTGGCGTAGCTGTCTGGCGGCCAGCGCATCGCAGCGCGCCATCTCCACGGCGCTGCGTTCCGGAGGGCGCGCGCAAGATCAGGTGCATGCTCGTTTGGCGCCCCCTCGATGTTGAGGGCGCTGTCTTTGCTTTGAACCGTCTGCGAGACTCGGGGGGCCAGGGGGCCGCCGACCACCGCAGCTTGCTGCTTCTAGCCGAACTGGACTTGCTATAGCACTTCCACGAGGGACTTGATTTATAAAACCATCTGCTCCGAGCACATGGACATCGCAGCTGTCTCGGCGCCGCGGCGTCGCGCTGCGAATGTTGGTGCGCGCGAGTATCTTCTCGCGCAATGTGTAGAAGAAGCCTCTCCTCGTCGGCGTCGAATGAGCTCTCTCGCCGGATCTGGCCTTGAGGGGCGGCGCCGATCTGTCCGTGGCCCCCTTCGTGAACGGGTGGGGCATGGCAGCGAGGGCCGCGTTGAGGTACCCTGGGGTGATATAGAAGATGTTCGACGCCAAGTGGTATGCGTTAGCGTCTAGTGTACTGTCAGGATGTATCGAGTGTTCACTACATCCAACAAGACGGCGAACTCCCTGTCGATGCGACGTCCCGCAGAGAACATGCGCGCGCCATCGCCTGCCACGACGGGCTCCATTCCTGGGGGGGCCGCCAGAAGGTTAAGCGCCCCCAGCCGGTGCGGCGCGAGCCCCGGAGGGTTCGGCGCCGGGCGACTGCTAGAACGAGCCGCGGAGGGTTCGGCGCCCCCAGCCAGTGTGGCGCGAGCCCCGGAGGGTTCAGCGCTGCTGACGTGAGCCCCGAAAGGTTCAGCGCCGTGGTGTTCGCTGAGGCCCCGGACACCGTGTCCACATCTCGTGGAGCACAGAGCAGCGTTTCGTGGTCCAAAACGCGCGGGGCCTGGGTGCGAAGGAGCGCCGGGCACGCGCCCCGGAGGTCTCGGCGCCTGGCGGCTGCGAGCGCGGGCCCCGAAGGGTGCAGCGATGCCGGCCGGTGCAGCAGGGGATCCCCGCAGGGCTCGGCGCGCCTGGCGCGAGCCCTGGAGGGTTCGGCGTCGGCTTGCAGTCGGGCTCGATGGGGCAGGACACCCTTCCGAGGGCCACGCTGCCACGGGAATGTGAGAGGCATGGGTCGCGAGGCCACAGGGCGCGAGGGTGCCCTTGATCTGGCGGGGTCGACCTGCCAATCTGGGCCGACTGCACCACTAGTCTAGATCCTCTCACGTTCGACTGCCAGGCCCCTGCAAGCGCCGCCCACAAGAGCACCTCCGAACGGAATGCACCCAGTGCGACGAAGAGGCTGCTCAGCCGCTGACCAGGGTAAAATGCCGCGCAGAACCGCGATCTCACTCGTCGTCTCTTCATTTGAGATTTCCGTAGATCCCCAAACGTCTCAGCGACATCCCCTGGAACAGCTTCGCCTCCTGTGCTCTCCTTCCATCTCCTCATTCGTCGTTATCGTCGTCATCGTTTTCTTCGCCCCGTGACGGCGATGACTGGCCGAGGTGGCGCGAGAGCCAGCGCGCCGTCAGGGCGCGAACCAACGAAAAGACAAAACATAACATGTAAAACGAACGTCCCTAAACCTAGAGGAAATAATATTTCGGACGCCTGATAGCCACGAAACCTATGGAAACACATGGTTTTCGCTCATCGCCGTCACGACGCACGGTGGTTTTCAAAGGTTTCGAAGGCACTAGTTGGCC